AAATCGCTGATCGATAGCACAAAATCGCTGATCGACAGCACAAAATCGCTGATCGATATCACAAAATCGCTGATCGATAGCACGAAATCACTGATCGATAGCACAAAATCGCTGATCGACAGCACAAAATCGCTGATCGATAGCACAAAATCGCTGGTCGATAGCACAAAATCGCTGATCGATGGCACAAAAGCGCTAAATCGAGTGAGTTGCAGGACGACAAGGAAACCCTGTCGAAGGTCTACCATTGCACCGGCTTCGGCGTCGGCCATTAATGTGCCCTTTCAAAGTCAAGGGGACAGCGGGGATGAGCCTATTCAACAGAGATATCGGCGGGGGCACGAGTCCGGCGGGGAGGAGCGAGAGCGAATGAGGGGGTGCTCAAATGAAAGTCCGTGTCCTCGTTTAGGCCCAAATGAGAAGCCCTCGCCCGAACTGTGATGACTAATACTCGAACATTGATACCCTTATTTTTTTGCAAGTCACGTCGCGGTGCCAATTCGGGGGATTCTTTCGATTTTTCCCGTTAATACATCGCACTGGGGTAAATTCGAAAACGCATATCCCGCGTTCGTCATGTCGCGTCACCTTCCGGCCGAAGTATCACAAGCGCCATGCGACGTTTAAAAATTTCCGCCACCATTTTATTTTTTCAAAGGAAATTTGTTGGTCGAATTTGTTTGAAAATGTCACGGAATTTTACCGGCAGCAGAAACAGTGAACAGTGTGATTCAGTGACATTTTCGGACAACTTTGTTGAACAATTTCTCTGTAAAAAAATAAAATGGTGGCGGAAATTTTTAAATATCACATGGTGCTTGTGAGGCGTTGCCGTTTGCTTAAATTATTTTGTTCCATACCAGAGAAGCTGATCAAAATTAAATCCCTCGTATTTTTGATAATTTTTCTTCAGCCTATAGAGAATCTTCTGTAAAAATTTAACAAAATAAGAATGTTTTTTCTTCATTAAAAAGAGTAATAGAGGCGTGTACTTTTTAAAAAGAGGACAGGTGTGTTTTTGAACCTTCACTCGGAATAGTACGACGAAGTCGACGAATTCAATAAATCTTTCACGCTCACTTATCCAATTTGCAGATTTTTCGGCGTACTTTATTTTTTCAATGTAAAACCATGAGATAATGCTCATACAATTTGGAGGATCAAGTTTATGAACATCATAAGTAACGTCTTAGTTACAGAGCTCCTCCAATTGGTCGTCCTAAACTTCATACGAGATTTTTTTCTTTCTCCCTTTTCACTATAACTCTTCAAGTGCTGTCATGCAATTTTTGTTGTTTCCTGTAAAATTCAGTTATGCAAAGAGGAGTCGCTTTCAAATTTACACCAATTCAGTTGTTGCCATTCGAGGTGTAAGTCGGCACTAGAGTGATTTACTCACTCGTTCAGAGAGTGAGATTCAGATAACAAGAGATTTTAAAAATTTTTCTCCAGTTTACAACAATTAAAAATCTGGACTCATTTTAATTTTGAAAGTCCAATTCCTCAAAGAGGGAAAGATTTAACCCACAAATCTGACAATGGCGCATATTCACCCTTCCAACTGTTTACCCATTACCGCGACTGCATTTCGTTAATTTCTTATTTGTCGGTGGCACAAGTTCGTCGGGAGAGTTGCGCGTGCGCCGCGGACATTAGGGAGCTTTTAGCGTGCGTGTGGGCCTCCCCTCCCCTCCCCTCCGAACTGCCTTATTAATTCATCACTAATTTAATTATCCTCCGGCTCCTTCGATTGCTTTTTTAACAATCCACGATCGACCTGTTTGATTTCAAGCCCTCTCTCCCCTCCTCGGAAAATCCATCAGTCGTTATTCATAGACCCGATTCTAGTCCATCAACAACGCAATAAAAAACTCACGGAATCGTTACGAAAACAGATTTCGCATCGGGGCAATTCTCTCTCATCGGAGTAGCCAAAAAAAAATTGACACTTTTTCTTCATGGTAAACCCCCCCCCCCNTCTTATACTATGGTATCTTATACTTTACATCTTATCTATTATTGAATAAGGGGAGTCTTTTTTTTTCACAAAAATTTTCTTTCGGTTTTTTTCTAATTGATTCCTGCACATACTCAACTGTAATTTAAAACCTTTTTCTTTTAAAATCTGGTCATCATTGAAAAACGTACGCAAGATTTTGTGACGGATGGAGTAATGCAACCTTAAGTGTGCTCAAAACTTTATACAGGCTTTTCTCCAAACTCTGTTTTTTGACTTTAAGGTACACTTTTCTCAAAATAGTGGATGGATTTTCAAAAACTTCAATTTTTTTCGCAATTTGTTTTTTAGAATGAGACTAGAAAATTCACTTAGTATTTCGGCAGATACAGTTGGTTGGTTTTTCTTTAAAAAAAAAAAATACAAAACATAATAAAACCCAAGCGAGAGGATTCGATGCGACGTTGCAATCGGAGATCCGCACTTTTCGACTTTAGCCATCGATAAACATAACAGCAATAGCGTTTATTATGTCATAATTTGAGGAGCACTGAATTATTTTTTTTTCAACATTTTATCCATAAATTCAATTAATTTTTTACAAATAATCCTTATAATTTAGAATGTTTCATACGCGCATTAATTATACTCAAGTTAAGTGTACTTTTTCGTAATTCTTCCTTTTAGTTGGCCATGTTTTTATTCAAGTTCAGCTGTATCTTCGAGCTTCAAAGGCAAAACCACCAAAACATAACGCGGTTACTTGGAAAATTCAGAACGCACATCGAACGCATTTAATCGGGGCGAAGTAAACCAATAAATAAACCATCGAAACCGCACTTTATTTACCGCAGCATTCCGATCACCAACCGTTATAAATACATCAGTATGACGTAACAGTGCGAACATTTGCAGTTGCACTCACATTCATTGCTAATTTTTTCTTCTTTTCAATTCGCAGCCCCGCGCAGACATATAATTTTAGGTTCAATAACGTATTCGTAAACACTACATAATTATACTGAATCGGCTTTGTCTGTGATTTGTTGAGTGTTTCTACTAGTTTATCATCATTTTTTCTGACCAAGTGATAACGCAAATCATGCGAAAAGCGGAAATATCTCGCCGTGAATTAGTTTATTCCATCCTCTGTGTAATCAGAATCTCATAACAACTCCTTAAATGCATCTCGTGCAACAGCATAATCAGCGATACTGCCGTGCTAAGGAAGAACACCGTATGAACATTTGCGAGTTGCCAAATTTCCTTCGATAAAATGTTTATTTTTGAGGAAAATTAGGAATATTTTTCCTTTAAATTTTCAGAAGTTTTAGATCAAATTACAAACAAAATTATCTGAGAAATTGGTAAACAAATATCCAAAAAAAATTCTGAAGATTAGTGATTTGCCAGGAGAAATTTGGCAACGCCTGAAGGCTCATACGGCGTTTTTCCTCAACACGGCAGGGTAGGTACTCGCGTACTCGCGGAGTAAGTATCGGTACTCCCGCCTCGAAGAAAATATGAAAAATGAAGGAAAATCAAAACACCCCCGACTGATGTACTCTTGCCCTTTTTTGATGCTCTTTTACGGTTTCATGGAAGGTTAATTCATAATCGCTCTGGTGGTTTGCATAAGAAACTCAAAAATTCAATTTTCATCATTTTGCCTCGCCACACAACCCCCCGCCGTTGGCATGAATAAAAGATTCTTTATGTAAATAAAAATATGTAAATGGGGTAACGGGGTGAGTCTGAAGTTAAGCGAGTTTCTAGAGACTTTGTAATATCTACACTCTTTGCCTGTCGACCTCGACATCCTCGCTCAGGTCAAAATGCCCTCGAAAATATGTCCAAAAAATATGTCTACATTTCTCTAAATATGAGGTATGAGCGATGATTTCATGATAAAATCTGTGATTAATTTTGTCATTATCGAACTGAATTTCACTTTGCTTCCCAATAGGTTTTCCATAAATATAATTATAACTAACGCATGGTAAACACGAAGAAAATTAACTTCTATTTTGTGTAATTTTTATTGACATCGCAAGAATCTCTGCCAACGTTAAACTAATAAACCAGGTAATGTTCGTTTAAAATAGGTGGAGTCTTATTCTGACAGCTCAGAATCCACGAAGACTCAATTTTAAACCTGAGTCCCATTTGCTTGTTACAGAGTCTACCGTGCTATCAGGCCAGAACGACATGAAACTAAAGAAACATATGGAAAATTGAACATTTTGGGGAAATATATATCATGGGATCCCATGAAACTTCGAGACTTTATGATATACTTTAAAGACCTGGGTACGCAAACTGCACTCAAGTAGACCTTTAATTTAAAAAAAAAAAAAAATAATAATAATAAAAAACCGTTATTTTCTTAATGTGGCTTTTAATTTTTTTTTATACCACTAGTGATAAAACTTAAATAAAATGACATCTTAGGGCATTTTAAAAAATGTATTTAATCGTTCAACCAAAGGTTGTTACTCTGCAATCTGGAGCAATACATTATATTTCTTTAATTTCGGAAATTCTCTGAAATCTTTCACGTAAAATTTCATGTAATTCGCACCACGCTGCAGCAGTGTCAACATGAAAGTTTTCAACACTTGATCGAACAGGATGCAATGCAAAATGCAATGGCTGGCGGTTGCGTCTTGACATGAATCCCGCGCCGGCATGTATGTCGCGGGGCGCTGCTGGCGCCGGCAGTTCTCGCCCCGCGATCTCCCGGGACGGTCGCTGTGACGCTCTCAACTTCGTCGCATCTGCTTTCGACTCCTTACGAAGTTCACGTGCTCGTCTCAAATCCAAAACAAACGTGACAGTTATTTTTTACTTTTTCGATTTTTAGCCTCGAACGTTGTCGTGTATTTTCTCGCTAATATTTAACGCGAGTGTTACTTCATACTCTCCAAACACTTTTTTTTAATATTTCGTAGTCCATAAAACACGATTCGCACGTGTTTTCCCGAAGCTGAAATAGTTGCTCACTCCGTTACAATGAGCCCTCTGATTCCTAACCTATCCCCTCTTTGAACTTGAAAAAGTGCGCGATAATCTCGAGAAACATTTTTTACTTTTTTAAGCGGCTGTATTTTGTTTTTTTGGCGACGGTTTTTTACACCATATTTTGAAGTTAATTTTTTTTCTGTCTATTTTTTCGGCATATTTGTTAGATATTTTTTTAATTTTGAAGCTCGTTCATCTTTCAACTGCCAACATGAAGAAAATAGAACGTTTCTTTCAATAGAAATTACTCTGAGGAAAACTTGCGCCATTGTTCCTCTAGTGCATTGCAACGATAAAGCTCAGAGTGCAATTCCAGAAAATTTCAATTCCCATTTGAATATAAAAAATTCAAAAACGTGTCGATGTGTTTTACAAGCTGACAGTAATGAAAAAACGACCTAGGTCCGTCGATGGCCCTCGAACAAGTATTTTTTAAAAGATATAACGGTTGTGAATAAAAGCTGTATTATGGCGTTATGAAGTTTAAAAGTGTGTGCACGGTACTCAGTATTTCATTCGTGACGAATGCCGTATGTTTAAAAGTGAAATTTTCTTAAATGCCGGCCAGATGACCATCCATCAAGTGGCGATTCTCCTGGAAGAGGGGTGCAAGTCGGGCGCGGAAATATCCTAGTGTTGTGCGGGTTGCGTGCTTTGAGTTCTAGTCGAATAGTGCGTCTGTGCTCGCCCTGTGGAATAATTTACGGCGGAAACATGAGGTTGCTGATAATCACTGTCTGTCTGTGTGTCATCAAAGGCTCCTCAGCGCAAGCACCGCCACTTCACGAGGGGGCAACCATTTTCCATCACGAAAGTGAGTCGCTTGTTACTGTGTTTATCTTCTCTACTGCTGCCTTTACAATGACGCTCCTCGTTTCAGAATTTCCTCGGTATTTACTTTGCTTCAAGGAGCCCACTCGAAGGGCGAATTCCTAACTTGGAAAATGAGAAAATGAGAAATAAAAAATGAATTACCTACAAATATTTCTGTGAAAGAACTTAGGTTGTTTCAAAGGAAATTCCATTTTTTCCTAAATGGAAGAAAAAAGTGTCCAGTTCCTTTCGGAGGTAATTTTTCGCAACAGAAAAATTCTCCATGGTACAACCGGAAATATTCCCATGCACTGGAAAAAAAACACATTGGATCTAGAGTCCGCAGACTCTTAAAAACATCGACAAGAAAAAATACTCTTGATTCAATCGGATTTTTGCTTAAATCAAGAACCAAGCCTCTCAATTTGAGCGGATTTCCTTTTGATTTAAGCAAAAATCTCATTGAATCAAGAGTATTTTTTTCTTGTCAATGTTTTCAAGAGTCTGGACTCTAGATCTAATGAGTTTTTTTTCCAGTGTGGGAAATATTAAAAGGGTGCTCCTATCCATTCAAAAGGAACGTTGCTTACCCCAGAATTTCTTTCACAAAAAGCGGAGATATGAATCTCAAATGAACGGTAAAACTGCAAAATTCCGTGGTATGCGACGTTGCAAACTCCCTGTACCTGACATTTCGATCGTAAGCTTCAAAAAACTCGTACGTCGATTTGGAGTATGAACATTTTTATTTGAACTATCCACAGAATATTCTGGAAAGGGTGAAGAAATTACAAATTACCAGAAATGTAACCCTAAAATTGTATTTAAAAAAAAAAAAAAAAAAAAAAAATTAAAAAAATTCGAAATGACGTAGGCCAAAATCCGTACCCCTCGAGTTTCATTATTGATTTGTCTTTATCAGCATAAACGCACGGTTTTATATTAAAAATCAGTGGAGAAATGGAGCTCAGTAACTATTGATGAGGATCGTAGTTTAAAGAATGTATTTTAATGACGATATTTAATATGTTTCGGAGTTAAAAAATATCGGATTAAAATGCAACTACCCACCTCCCAGTGGAGCAAAGTCATACCAAATCATTCGCACGTCATTCCTTGGGGGTAGAGTGTGTTTTTGCGAATGTATCAAATTCTGATTTGTCGACGAAATTTGCCCCTTCAAATAATATACTCATGTGCATTGACCACTGAGGCCCTTTTCCTCGTCGATGTGCAAAATTTGTGAAATTTTTCCATGATCTTGTCTTTTCTTTTTTCTAAAAATGCTTCCTACAGAAATTCAGCACAGAAATACAAGTTAATTTCCTTTTAAGGAAGATAAAACAATAGAGGCATTGAACACCTTAAGTTTAATGCTTTACAGTCTCACACTAGTTGTTCGTAAAGGAATATAAAACCTAAAATATAAATCGATTGAAGAAGTCATGTACGTAAAAATTATTCATACGGGATATCATGTTTTATTGCTCGCAAAACTTTTAATTAAATTATCCTAAGACCATCAAAAAGTGGTTTTTTCAGGGGTAAAAGAGGAAAACTTTGTGCACCCAGCAATAAAGTTAAGTGACATGTAAAAAATAGAAAGAGAAACAGGAAACTTAAAGTAGTAGAGGTAGTATTAGTAATATTCGTTAAATTGAAAGCGATGCCGTAGCAACTATGGTCAAGTACTTGCGGAGAAAGAAAATCAAGACGAAAAGAAATTTTGAGCTGGAGTCTCAATCAGCCTTTTTTATGTATTTATCCGTGTAAGTTTACTTTTTAAGAGAGAGCTACGTTTCTTGTAAACACTTTTAATAAGTATGCCTGATGATGTGATGAGAAATAATTGTGAGTGAAATGTTTACACGCATCTTTCACCAACAATCCATTAATAGCACTATAGCGGCGGCGTGGAATTTGAACTACGAAAGTTCAACAACAAAATTCCTCTTATATTGAAGGACCTTTTCATATGCCGCACTGTACTTGGCGTTCTGTAAAAACCTCAATTTATAGTTTTTATAATTTTTTTTATTATATTATTTTTTTTATTGGTTTTAAAGGTTGCCTCTATTCTTTTCCCCAGTCAAATGACTCTGGAACTTTCTTATCTGTCGAGATGCGACACGCTTTTCTACCCATCTAAATCAGTGTTTAAACCTAGGTTTATGACCTCAGAGTTTTCTGATTAGTTGGGTCTTAGATCAATCAGAATCTGTGTTAATTTTTTCGCATGATTTTTGCATATTTGCTTAGGACGATGAAAGAAATGCCTCGATCCAAGTAAAAAATAGGGTTAATCCCTTGAAGTTTTCGGGATTTTCGGGTTCATGACATCTATAGAATAATTGTGGCGGCGTCGAGAGATTGAGATGACTTTTAAATAGACACCTCTGCAAATTCTAGTCGCCAAATTCAGGCAGTTCTCTAATTGTGGGTCATGGTCTTCCATTATTAGTTTAATAAGCACATTTCTAGAAATAAAGGGGAATCAAATTATTTCTAAGAAAGATCAGGATCATGAGTAGCATCAAAATTTTCCCCGGCAAGCGTGATCTTCAGAATTTTCTGTATCACTCCTCTGGTGAGAAATCTTCCTGGCTCTCACGTCCTCCCCAGAGGCCTATTTTGAGGACATCAAGGCATCAAATATGCCAAAGCCGTCGAAAAATTCCTCACTACTAACACAATTCTAATGTTGGTTTACCGGTGCATCGTGCCACGAAAAAACCGGGTGTTGGGAAGTGCCGGCTGCCGGGTCGGCCGGTTGCAGTATTGCTCCTCTTTATGCTTTCCGGCATCCAGTGTACTTAATTCTTGGTTTTATTACACCAGTAAGCCCATTTTGTGTGCACCCATCCCCCTCCATGTCATCTCTTTTATCTTAACACATGATTTTTATTACCTTTCATTACCATTCGCTTTTATTGCCCACATTGAAATCGTGGACATCTGATTTACGGTCGATGTCACCGGTTCTTTTTTCGCAGCATTGTCTGGCACTCATAACTTTTGATTGTCTCGGAGTAGACGTCTCGCTCTCTCATACGAGGGAATTGGATGGATCAGTGGTCGGTGACTTCCAGATGCGTTTCGAGCAGCTGGCTCGAGGCACGCCTGTAAAACACCTCGTGCGAGGGGCCAGTGTTTACTTTGGACGTTTGAAATGGCAATGGGTAAAGTGGTGTAAAGAGCCCCCAAATTAGTTTTGCACGTGATTCGACTCACTTCCACTCGGGTGTTTAGACCAACCAGACGTTTGAATGGGTCAGTAGTAATAGGTGTGTAATCCTGCTTTGCGAAGGAATAATGCCGTACGAACATTCGAGAGTCGCCAAATTTTCCTCGATAAAATGTTTATTTTTGAGGAGAGCTATGAATAATTATCCTTGAAATTTTTAGAAACTTTAGGTGAAGTTTCTAACAAAATTATATGAAAAATTGGAAGGAAAATATTTACAAATTTTTCCGAGAATTTGTGATTTACCAAAAGAAATTTGGCGACGCCTGAAGGTTCATACGGCGCTATTCCCTGGCATGGCGGAATCGTGATTGGATGGTTGAAACAGACCGTGTTGGAAATTGAGCATATGGATCAAAAGAGCACTACTACATCAACTTTTAAACGATTTTGTAACCCCAATCTCCACGTAAAGCCAAACGAAAAAAAAATTCGCGATCCATCCTTAATAGTGGGAAAATTGTTTCAAATCATTTCCCGCGCGACAGTATGCACCATATGGTTTCTTCCACATTAGATTTGTCAAAAGGACATATTCCTGCAAACGGAACTAAGCGCCAATTTCAGTTCCCATTAGATTTCAAAATCCTGGATAGCGCATACTGTCAAACGGAAGTAAGCGCCATGGAAAAGCATTGTGAGCATATAAGACGAGAGCGGGTCTTGAACCACCTGTACCCGCCAATCCAACCCCCGCTCCCTGCTACCCTCTATATTCCGCTTATTTCCGTTCAGCAGAAATATGTCCAATACAGGTGAAGTATTGCAAAAGTTTCATTGGCTACAGTAAAAAAATGTAAATCTCCATTGCAGCGTTGCAGAATCTGCAGTCCTTTACTTATCTATTTTGATATGAGCTGGTCAAAATATATTTCCTTAAAATTTTCTATGAATATTTTTGAATGAATGGAAAAAAGTCACAGGACATTTGAATAGAAAATGATGGTTGGTTTTTGCACAAATTTTAAAATAAATGCATAAGTATAAATTAAACTTGAGCGGCACTTTGCAACGTCAAAATCGGAAATAATAATTTTTCGATTTGCTATGCCTAAAATTCTGCAACGTTGCAAACCGAGCTACGTGGTTCGGGAGTTTCACCGTCTCCTCCGTACGTATAGGTTTTACTTACTAAATTTAAGCTCGAGTTTCTGCGGCAACCCTGCTCGAATTTTGATCGCCCAATTGCCATAATTTTATTTTCATCTTGCCGTAGACGGGCCGAACGACATGGAAGCTGTAAAGAAATCATAACCTCCGACCAGTGTTTCACAGTTTCTAAAAATACTTACCCGGGTCCCGTCTCGCGTCCCAGCCGTTTAACATCCGACGTTCGGAAGGAACCCGTAAGGGTCCATAACCAAGATTTGTAATTTTTTAATTACATCTTTATTCGCATTAACGTCCTGGAGGAGTGAATATTTTTTCTCCAGCAGCGAACAAATGTACCGAGAGTGACGGTTTCAGCCCCTCTGTTTTTACATCGCCAGGCAAGAGGCCAGCAATTTATGGAGTCTCGCCACAGAGGGTGGGGTTGTTGACGGGTGACCCCCCCACCCCTCCCCGCCCCCGGGGAGTCCGTCTAAGTTTTTATCGCTTATTGTGACTCGTATGAAATCAGATTTTCTCCCGGGCCCCGCCTCCAAGCGCTCCCTTTGATTTCTTTCTCACAGCGTATTTATGAATCATATTATTCTGCCTTCCATGAGTTTTATTTCTGGACGGGGAGAGATGGGAAACTCGAGCAACAATCTATA